AGACTGTTATCGATGATATATCACCGTCACATCGTCAAATGGAGAATGTTATCGGTGATATATCACCGTCACATCGTCAAAAGGAGACCGATATCGATGACATATCACCATCTAACCGTCAAAAGGAGACTGTGATCGACGATATTACACCGCCGCCGACTGTAATCGATCAGGTGTTTGCTCCAAACAGTAAACAAGAATACATCAGAGAGACTAAAACGCCGAAGGAAACCGTCATTGACGATTGTTCAAACCCGCAATATAGAAAAGAAACTGATATAGACAATATATTTTCTTCAATACGCGAACAAGAAGAGCCTGCCATGCACGATCGGTTACCTACATACAATACAAAAGAAACTGCCATCGACGACGTGTCGCCTTTATCATTGAGGAGAGAAACAGTCTCAGACGATAGCTCACCTTCAAAACAATCTACTATTAATGAAACAATCATCGACGATATATTGTCCTCAAACCGATCCATTGCATCTTCGGTTGAATATATTTCACCACAAACAGTCAAAACACAATCTCCAGTGAATCTGACAAGGGAGACGGACATAATTCCGAAGGCTGAGATACGCAATCTTGTTGTTGATGACGTGTCGACTTCGCTGCCGATTACGACTAAATGTGAAACAAAACATGAATCTGTTATTGGTGACCCCGCAGGATCAGACGTGATTAATTCCAGTACATTGGACGACCTTGAAAGTGCAATAGCTCCGTGTATAGAGCAGTACACAAAGTCAGTGAATTCTCCTACTAAACTTCAGCCGGAAGTAGACCATGAATGGTCTTCAACAGAAAAAGTTGAAAAACAAGAAAAAGCGACGGATTCAGATGCATCCAACGAATACAAACATATTCCAGTTGTGCCAACGTTTGGTTGGGTTGTTCGAACGTCTGTTGTTAGTCCTTCCGGGTTAAAGGGTATAAAAGCGAAAATCAGTAAACAACAGGAACGTTCGCGCGTTCGCAAACCTGAGCAATACAAATCCGTGCTCACTGAACCTGTTGTGATAAACCCTTCTCCACCGGTCGTACGGACACCCGACAAAAATCCGCTACCCGTTATTCGCCAAAAGATCATGTCCTCTCGACACCGCTTTCTCAGTGCTGATAATCTGACGGACAACGTGAGCTCGCAGTTCGAGCACTTCAAAATGTCCGTGTCTAAAACGCCGACCAGACAACGTATTTATACGCGTCGCGAGACAACGCCAGCTCAAAAAACTCGCCGCATATTGAGCTTTGAGCGTGTAGATAATCTAAGCAGTATGCATTCCCCGCGGCACAATAGTGACGACTCGTTCGAAAAACCCGCGTTCGACACACTTCACAAAGACTGTATGTTCTCGGCTCATAAACACAAAGAAATACAAAAAACCACAGAATCTATAGACCAATTACACGAACCTTTGCTCAGTTATGGGTCTGTTTCGTCATTGGTGGAAACAGATATTGACTCTGGTGAAACGTTTGAAACATTTTTCCTTCACGAAACTGACGTTGATATGTTTGGGTTTCAGCATATACCTTTACAAAGAACTGCAAGCATGAGTGACATGATGACGTCAAGAAATCTGGAAGAACAAAAGGTGAGGAAGGGTCGATTCGCCGACCGAAACATGCCAAAGTCTAAAAGTCTCATGGCGTTGGAAACGGACATCGACGAGGAAGTTGAGGGAGACGGAAGTCTTAAGCGTGTGCCGTCTATACACGAGATTCGCGTTGCTAAATCTCTACAGAAGCTTAACGTCCCTGATTGGTACAAAAGGTCGAGTGTTTCGCGGAGCGGAAGTACGTATAGTCTTTTCTCTGAACGACGAGACTCGACGTCAACACTCAACTCCATAGGGTATGCAATGTCCACAACGTCATGTCCTTGTCCCTCTATTAGTCCCACTTCCGGTGCTGTCGTGATAAAGACCAGAGTTACACCGTCGAGTGCAAATAGGTTTCTTCGTGCACCTAAACTCCCTGTTACGCCGGAAAAATCCCCATTGCCCCCCATGAACTTCCGATTACCTAGTGACAGATTACGGAAAAAAGAAAAATCTAAAGAACTCATGCCGATACCGGTCGTGCCTTTCTCACAACTAAGACTTATGTTTGAAACTGGTAAAAAGAAGACATCACCCGTAAAAAAATCTCCTAGTACCAAATCTGAAAAAATATCTCCTCTTCCGTCACCTGATGTACCAGATCACCCTGCTACGTCTCCAGTGACATCATCAGCTCCCCATCCAATACTCAAGGTGACACACGCTGACCAACCGCCAACGAATGGTACCACAACAGGCAGTAGGGATGAAGAGAGCAGAGTGAAAAATGGTCGCGTGCGAATTAGTGAACCTGAGGTTACAAATGTCAAGCCGGTTCCTCCAGAAAAACCGGCGTCTTTGACTAATAAGGAAGCCAGCCAAGAAAAGCCAACTACGCCGACGAAAAAGGGATTCTTCTCTCATTTTAAAAAACAGAAAAGTTCCTCTACAAAGTCGGCACCGGTAGCGCCACCTGTGGAGCCAGAGAAACTCAAACCGTCCATCAAACCGCCTGTCCCCGCAAAACCCGTCAAGAGTAGGAAAGGTAAATATGACATATATATGGACTATCTGTGTTTAGGGTTGTAATTTCAGCCAGGTATTGGTTTAAAGTCTATCCAAATACAATCCATTGTAGTGCTTACTGTAAGCATCCCATAAATGGTTTTTTCTAATGAAGTTGAAATGCAAGTTCATGTTTTAGTCATGTCTTGTAAAAGTTTTCAATGAAATAGCAACTACGTGTAGTTTATAGAGAAAGATAACTTTTATTTCCTTATAAATCAATGTTTCCCCAGTTTTTGCCTATAACATTTTCATGTTATGATCACATCGATATTTGCTGAAGCTACAAATGTATTCATATTGTAACTCATTTCAGTGAATTGATATTTATAATGCAAAGACCATGTGTGAATGGCTACGGTCGCCTTCATCGTGGATTATCCACGTACCATTCATTTGTTCATTTATATGCTTTATTACACCTGTGATTAGTGTCAGCGTTCCCCTACCTCCTACCTCTTATAAAGGATATTTGATTTATGGAATGATTTGAATTTTAATTCAACGGAATGATTTGGATTTTACTATCACGCTTTAAGTGTGTCACCAATTAATTGACCTAGATAAAACTAACAGTCACAACAGATAGTGTGTACATATGTTCAGAGTGGAACTCTTTCGTATTGGAGATAAATTAATACTTAGATTCCAACAACTTCGTCACAGCAAGGTTCGACTTTACGTTAAAAAGAATATGAACTGTACATGTATGTGTGGACAGATTTAGGTATTTTTGTGATAAAATTTAAAACCAGACAAAATAACACATGTCTTGGTATATTTTTACTTTGAAAAATGATCAGGGTTGTATTGTTAATTACTGGTCTTCAGAAAACGTTAACAGTTGATGTACAGTTTTGAATATGAAGCATAATTTGTTTTATTGTGTTGTTATCGCAGAGGAGGTTAACAGTTCGTCTGTCGGTAAGTGAAATAACATCATCGGCTAAATTATAAATATATTCTACAGCGCTTCACATATTTCTTGCAAATCGCCTCTTTTCACTCTGCTTTTGGTGGTGGTTGGTGGTGGTGCTTACCGTACGCTCTGGGTGACTGAATCTATCCACTGTAACCCTGCATTGTACTGTTATTGAAAGTAGTTCTAGTTACGTTCGCTTTGCTTCACTTAATTTATATGTTACGACTGATTAATCAGGTTTTTAATTAATTTTACTTCTCTTTCCGGGGCATTTTTTTTTATTCTGTCTCCATATGACGTCATTCCCTAACTAGACATACTCTTCGATCTATGTTATCACGTCCAATTAGGAATGTTGAATGGCACGAAGCCATACTACGTCTATTGTCTCGACATGACACAGGGTGCTAAGTAGATAGATGTATAGGTATCGATATGACGTCATATTACATGTACATTTGTATATATTAATGTCTGTCTCGACATGACGTCATATAGGCATTATGGATTTATAGCATTGTATCTTCAGGACGTCATATGAATTAAAAGGCTTGACTATTGTTATTGTCGTTTTCATGGGAAAATGAATGGAAGCGGTCTTGAACAAATTAAGCTTTGAAGCATCTTATGTTGAATTTGTCACGCGACTTACTCAGTTCAACACCATATAAGATACACAAAAGCGTGTTTAAATCCTCCTGTTTTAACTTTTTGTTAATGCATTGGATTAATACTTGCTAAACAGCGCAGAATAAAGGCACCTATCAATATACATAGCAATGCTGAAACAGGTAGTTCTCGGTAGTTTCTGGAGCAGAAATTCAAACCTTGCCCATTGATGACTCAATATATGACGTCAGATACAATCTGTTGACGATTCTGCCCTTACATAATTTTTCCTAGTATTCACATGTCCTTCTGTCGTCACAATGTAATACACTAAAACCAAGCGTGCACTGGTTGCGCTCAGGTTTAGCTTTGATGTATACTTGAGATAATAGGATAGATCTCCTCAAGTCAGATGATAAATCCATTCATACTGTTAATTTGTAGACAGCATCGCTCTTTTATATTGAAAAGAATGTCAACATTAATTTTAAGTAATTGGTGGTTCAAGCTGTTATCATCATCTTCGGTCATCGCTGTATATCACGTCATCCATACACTGTTTTTATTCAAATTGTACTGTACACTGTTTCCCTTTATATTTGTGTCACTCTGCACCGCGGTCCACACTCCACTCCCCCTCCCCACTTATTGTTATAATCTATATATTGTAGGATGGCTCTTTCTATAAACTTCTGAATACACGTTCTATGATTTATTTCAGTATGCAAAAGTCGATTTTCATACTAGTTGTTGCTGCTTTGAACCTTTTACATTAGACACTTGATATATAATACACTTGTTGTGCAGGAAGTCGGATGCTATGAATGAATTCTCTATGAAGTGAATAGTATTTGATTCAATGAGGGAAACAAACATCCATATCTCCTTACTTCCAGGGCAATATTAAACAATATATGTCATTTGTGATGTTACTTTTATATCTGGAGCAAAAACAACATGTCATATTTCTCAAAAAGGAATTATGTGTTTCCTGGATGCGTTAGGTTTTGTTTCCCGGTCATGTGACATGTTTATAAATAGATTCAGACATACTATAGCATACACTAAGTCTGTATAATAATAATACAATTAACAACAGTTTTCCCCCCATCATACTATGCTATCGTACTACATACATAATAATATAAACTGCTTGATTTGATGCAGGGATTTATATGTCTAAAATCGTTCTAGTAAATGGTCATAGAAAAACGTATAATGCGTTCACAAGTAACTCTAAAAAGTAAACTCTGTTTCCACAGAATATTATGCAATAATCGAATTTGTATAACAAAATTTTAATTGTTTGTAGTCGTATGTAGAAATCATTTCCAGTTTCAAACTAAAATAAGCACGCCCCATATTAGCTTCATGCACCAAAATATCAAGCAAGGCTTTAAACACGAAACACACATCTACGAAACAAACAACTGAGATTTACAATTTCCACAGTGAAAATTCTGTCCACGTGTGGCGCGCTGATCGCCAATGATGGCTGTCATCATTGCAATGTCGGTTTTGTTTGGTTTTCATTTGGGTCCAACGTAGACATAATTAGATTTGGACTGGTCTCGTCTCGGCCTCCGGGAGACGGTAGCGACACGATTCTCGGGGGAATTAGCCCCGATTATCTCCCTGATGAATGGGGTTTTCCATATAGAGCTGTATCGATTGTAGGACACGCATCAGCACCTTCCGTATGTCTATATACTGACAGAGGAATACATACACACCTAACGGTACCTACTACACTGTGGGTTAGCATTATCAGTTTTATTTCTTCGGAAGTTTTCTGATATATACTGACATGCCGTGCAGATATTAATCTTATCTGAACACGAGTCGCTTCGTGAAGATATTCCAGTGAACCATAGTATATATATTGTATGTATTCATGACAGAGATATCGCCAATTCTTCATTCTGTAGACGGCACGAGGTCATGTTCATCCGCTATATACTTCAGGGAATTGGCTTACTGCTTGGTCAATGTTTGTATTTGAGAGTTATTTATATCAAATATTTATGCAAGAATTGTTTTCTTATTTATTTAAATACTTATTCGGTGTTATAAAGTCTCCAGCCCAAAGTACCTGCTTTTTGGGACAATATCTCAATGCGCGCCAACGTCACTGTACAAGTAATCAACCTAATATCTTGTTCAGGGGAATGAATATGTTAAATATATAAAGTAGTGTTAACCTTAGACTGCCA